ATTGATAATGCAACATAATGTATACTGTATGTGTTAATGCCAAATAGTGGAACATTCCAGGCAATGCCATAACATCTCCATGGAGAAAAGCAAGTGGCATTGATTGGCTAATCCACCTGTCAATCACTTACGTGTATTCTGGATCCCAGACAACAGGTGGTGGACTTCCCACAAATGTAAAATATACTACAAAAAACATTTTTATATTCAAATATAGAACCACCGGGTTAAAAGGTTAAAGGTCCCCATACTCCTGATTAGGAAATACTGGAATAAGATGAAGCCTAAGCTGCCTAAAGGCAGTCACAGTTGTATTGCAGACTTTTTATATATATATATATAATTTTTGAAGAATTAGATTTTTCTTTCTTTTTCAAAGAATATTTTTGTGAAGTGTTTTTGCTTGTACAGATTGTAGTACAATATGCTTTGGCATGGCTACACATCCAAATGTCTCCATCATCAAAAGGAATTGGCCCAATCCAAAATTGTATTTTTATTAGCTGTAGAATTCCACTGCTAAACCAGATGGAATTGGGAGCCAGTCTGGGAACGTGTTCTTTTTCCAGTCCTGGACCTGGGGGAGGGGGACTGTTTCTTCATTGTTCCGTGTTCAATAGGACGCATGTTTCTTACTTCCCATGCTGATCACTACAGGTGCAATGGTGCATATGTGAAGGGGCCGTGTTATTGTTTGGATTTGTCTTCAGGTCTCATCTCAGGTCTCATCAGTGACCATGTGTCACAGAGGTTTAGACCTTAAAATTTTCCTTAGAATGATGTAATATTCACTAAACTGTTGTACAGTGAACTTATTTCCAAAAAGTACTGACTTAAGTAAGCATAAATAAACAAACTCACAGTTAAAGTAGAGCCAAAAGAAGTTGTCGTTTATTTGTTTATTTATTCATTTATTTGTACAGGGACAGTGCACGTTAATGAAAATTACTGTAAGTGCCAGTTTAAGCTGCAAAACCCATTTTCAACTGTACTCCCTTGGCAAGGTGTAGCAATGCCCACAGCAGACATACAGAAAACACAGAATTATATATAGAATATATTTATGAATTATTCTATTTTCTTTGTCTGCAATACACTTAGGATTCAGCAGTGTTGTGTAGTCACTTTGTTACAAAATGAAAAAAAATCTGCTTCCTGCTAGTGTGATCTGCAGCTTTTCATCAGAGTTGCCAATTCTTTGTTTTGATGATGTTTACAGCGACATCTGCTCTCAATGGGCACCACAGTTTTTTAACGTGGAAGTCAGCGGACTTGTTTCTTTTCTTAAGTCATTTTAGATAAATACTGCTATTTACAGGGGCAAATACGGGTATAAATATATAGCAGTCTCAAGGCCAAACATCCCACATACAATAGCTTTTACAGTATCATGATTTTTTACCAGACACCACATTGTTGCTTCTGATCTCATCCAAAGCTCCCTATGTGACTGCAGCCTCTTCCCTTCAGTGTGTATGTTTGTGAATACTCGTGCTCCTCTTTGGCCTGAGCTGTTGACACACAGGGTTAGACAGCCCTGCCGCTGTTTACTGCTCACTAAACTATGTGCGGCCATCTTTGAACTGGAACTGAGCTCTTCTGCAGTGGCCTTTGAAGCCATGGCCAAATCTTCAGGTCCGGAGTCTGACTTTGATTTGCCAACAGAGTGTGTGGATCAAACTGGAGTACACAAACAGCATGGGCAGGTTTCTCATTAGTCCATCCAACAAGAGCTTCACATGAGACCACTGAAAAGGACTTTTACACAAGGAAATGGATTTAAAATGTACGTTTTGAACTTGGAGAGGTCATAGAGAGATACATGTCATACGTTCTGCCTCGGCTCATTTAGCAAACGCCTTGATCGGGGCCATTTCTTTATCGGAATGACTTTTGCCTTTAATAGAGCTTATAGGGCCCTTGCATACGAGTGATGGATGAGACGCGTGTTTCTAGTGATTAATATCCAATGGACTGAGAGAGGCTGAATTCATTAGTCCTGAGATGGGGAAAATGAGTTCTGCAAATATGGCTTTTGATGGATGAGATCTGAAATAGCAGCCAAGAAGCACCAGCACTTTCTACTCCACCTCGCAAATGTCTAAATATACATGCCTTGTATAGCTGAACCAGAGCATGATGCGAGAGAGATAAATCAAAGTGTATTTATTTATCCATTCATCTGTTTATTCTGGAATTCAGTGTATGTCGTTAAAAGTTTAGCATTTGGCAGTTAGAGTTAGATTAAAGGCTCACTGTGTAACTTTTCTGGTGGAGAACTGTTTGACCCTATGAAGATCTCATTGCTTTGCCCTGGGTGTTCCACAGCAACAGTTTTGCATGTATTCAGTTACTCATGTTTTATTGTTGGTAAAAACATATCCAAAAAACCTCCATAACTGAGCCTTGTGGTGTCACCTGCTTGTCTTCTTGGAGAAGTATAATGTCATACTGTTGAATGTCACAGGCAAAGGACTTACATCTCAATGGAGAAAAACAGGTAGCAGACCTCTCAAAAGACAAGTTACATAGTACAACTCTAAATTAGGAATGGGCTGATGTGGAGTTTTATTTTAACCTATACCAATGTTAGATATTTGTCCTCTGCTGTGTCTGATAATTGATATTTGCAGATACCGATATTTAGCTTTTAAAAACCAAAGCAATGCTCACAAATTATTCTTAAATTGAAGTAAGAATCACAAATTCACTTTTCACTTTTGTAAAAATAAAAGCTAAATTTATCTAGGATATAAAATAATTAGTTCCTTGTTTATGTAAAAATGCAGCCAACACTCTTCTGTTTCCGTTTTAGTCTGTTCAGAAAGGGCACTCACAGAATGTGGCAGCGCAAAAAATATTGCTGTCAAATATCTTGATACCGGCCAATATGGATATCAAAATATCGGTATTGATATCGGCTGATACTGGAACTGATACATTGCCCATTTCTACTTTAAATAGCAGTTACTGGAGAAGACTTGACACCAAAAAGGCCAGCGGGCCAGATGGGATCTCAGCTTTCCTGCTAAAGACTTTTGCTGATGAACTGAGCCAAGCATGGTGTCCCTTATTTCAAATTTCAGTAGATACAGGGGATATACCTTTGCTCTGGAAAAAGTCTATTATCACCCCTGTACCAAAGAAAACCTGTCCTAAAGAGAACAATGACTTCAGGCCTGTGGCCTTGACATCAGTGACCATAAAATCATTTGAGCGTGTTATGGTGGGGTTTCTGAGGGAGGAGGTAGCGGGACATGTAGATCCCTATCAGTTTGCTTACTGCAGCAACAGAAGTACTGATGATGCTCTTGTAACTACTGCCCACTTAATACTGAAACACTTAGAGGATCCTTCATCATATGCCAGAATACTGTTCATGGATTTTAGCTCAGCATTTAATACAATATTACCGAGCATTCTGCTGAAGAAGCTGTTAGATCTGGGTGTTAACAGTCATGTTATTAAGTGGTATTGGGCATTTCTTACAGGGAGACAGCAACAAGTTAAGGTTAACTCAGCGCTGTCAGATATTCAGGTTGTCAGCACTGGGGCACCACAGGGCTGTGTTAGCTCACCTCTTCTTTTCACTTTGTACACCAATGCGTGCAGGAGTAGACAGGTAAACAACTATATAATTACATTTTCTGATGACACAGCTATTCTTAGTTTACTCAGTAAAAGCACAGATGCCATCAGCTACAGGACAGAAATTGATGAAGTGGTGCATTGGTGTGAGGAGCATAACCTTGTCTTAAATGTGGAAAAGACAAAGGAGATCATTTTTGATCCCAAATCTGTCGGGGACCACAGCCCCATTAATATCAGGGGGAGGGACATAGAACAGGTGACATGTTATAAGTACTTGGGTGTGTTATTTGATTCTCAGCTCCAATGGAGCCAGCAGGTACAGTCTGTCTGCTCAAGAATCAGCCAGTGTCTCTATTTTTTAAGACGGCTTAGGTTACATGGAGTTGACACCAATGTAATGCTGTTGTTTTATAAAGCATGCATAGAATCTATCTTACGCTATGGCATGTCAACATGGTTTGGTAACCTCTCAGTCAAACTTAAAGCACAGATTTTTACCTTGACTAAAAGAGCAGGTAAAATAATGGGTGTGGCCCCAAACTCACTTCAGCAAATTTTTGAGGAGACTGTTAGGAAGCTCAGCAGGAAGGTGATCAATGACCCAACCCATGTTCTTCACAGTCAGTTTGAGTTGATGCCATCAGGCAGAAGGTACAGGGTCCCAAACTGTAAACTGAACAGATTCAAACATTCTTTTGTGCCACTAGCTGTTAATCTGCTAAACTCAGATAATGCAGTTAAAAAATAATTATAAAAGGCTTAGGGATTGTGCAATCAAAACTGCACATAGGTGTAGGGAATGTGCAATTAAAGCTACACATAGGCTTAAGGAATGTGCAATAATTAAATCTGCACATAGGCTAAGGGAATGTGCAATAATTATAACTAAAACTGCACATAGGCTTAGGGAATGTGCAATAATTATAACTAAAACTGCACATAGGCTTAGGGAATGTGCAATAATTAATAGAACAGAAGAATGCAAGGGTTTGCCTGTTAAGGATAATTTAAGGGTCCTGTTGGTGCATCACTCGTGGTCATACTGGTCTCATATTTACTTTGTTTTATGGTGTTTGTTTATGTGCTGCTTTGTGTTGTGTTGTCCTGTTTTTTGATAAAACATGTTACCCCCTGTCCCAAGACAAATTTCTCCCATGGGAGACAATAAAGGATTATCTTATCTTATCTTATTATCGTTGACGACTTTGCTTATAATGGAAGAAGCATTTACCCCTGAATTAGTACACTTCCATATTTAAGTTATATATTTCAATAATTGCAAGGGAACACACAATTAGGCACATATCTGTTTGTATTCCTTATATTCATTGCAATGTTGTGTATCTTTAGTGAATAAGTATTTGTTTTAATCTGACTTTTTTTTTTTTTCTTTTGTTGTTTTTCTGTAGCATGTAACTGCAACCTGCACGCCCGCCGCTGCCGATTCAACATGGAGCTGTACAAGTTATCAGGACGGAAGAGTGGAGGAGTGTGTATGAACTGTCGCCACAACACGGCAGGACGCCACTGTCACTACTGCAAAGAGGGCTACTACAGAGACATGGCCCGGTCCATCACACACCGCAGAGCATGCAAAGGTAAACAATACTATATAAGAGGTACTAATATTACATAGGGCTATGCATTTAAACACATTGTAATTGAGATTCAGTCATCTATAATTATCAATGATGTTATTAGAGTGACAGCCAATCCTCTATCAGTAAAAACATGTAGTTTGGTGCAGACTTAGGAGGAAGAAATTTATTTACAGAAGTTTTTAAATGATAAAAAGTCTGAGAATTATGTTCAGAAAATAAATATTGAATGCCATTGTTATTTAGTAAATAAAATCAAAATGAAAATGTTTGGTAAATAAAATCAAATTGAAAATATTTGGTAAATAAAATCCAAATGAATATGTTTAGTAAATAAAATCAAAACAAAAATTGAAATTGAGATCACCAAAAAGTTGTGATTCACTGGCATATTGTTATAGTAAATATTGACCATCTTATCTGGTTATCTTAATATTCCACCTCTGTTGGTTTGTGTTACATGGTGGAATCCTGCATGTTAAAAACCTTGACAAATTTATGGTCTGAACAATGCAGAACTAATCCCACATACACATCGTAAATCTGCTGGCTTCATGAATATTTATTTATGTGAAAATGTCATGGATTATTACTTGAAGCCCAAGTGGACTTTTCTCTTGGCAATAAGCAGCAAAAGGTGTTTATACAAATTTCAAACAAATCCAGATTGAGATGTTCTAACCCTACTAATACAGTAATCACGCCATTTCTGAGAAAGAGCTGTAGAACGTATAATCAAGCTCTGAAAATACACACCTATGGACACTTATAATATAATGTCCTCCCTGTGTCCATATAACCTATGGAATGGTTATGTGTTCTAATCTGAATTGATTTGCACGCAAGGAGTTACAGGAGGCATAAGGTCGTGTCCACATTCTAGAATTTGATCATGTCATAATTTCAGATAGAGGGCTGGGGCCTGTTTTGGGTCTCCTCACACTTTCTGCAAGAAATATCCAAACTTATGATCCAAAAATGTTGAACCTTATCTTTATTTGTTAAGGACTGGCTCCATAAATTTACCATATTAACCTTATGGGTATTTTCAACTGAACATAATCACGTCTTTGCTGTTGTGGTGGTAGATACAGCTATCCATCTTTTTCAGTTCCAATACCAATTCTGATACTATCGCTTTAAGTATCTGCCAATACCCCATATCCAGTGATGGAAAGAATACTTTGTAAATGTACTGAGTTACAGAAAACTGAATAGATGCATTAAAATGTATTTTGTAATGTATTTTGATACATAGTCCATTCAGAGTATTGCATTCAGAATACTGTTACACAAAGTTTCAGTTAAATGATATTGTAAAAATGCAACACAGGATTAAAAACAGCTTCATATTTGTTTCACTGTTTGTTCTGCATTTCCTATCACTCATTGGAGAAGGAAAAACACACACGCACTCACCACAAAAAAGTGTTTTCTGTTTTTCTCGTGAGATCAACTACTGCAGCGTATTCCTTTGATTTTAGAAGTAACTCTTTTCTGAATAAAACCAAATGAAAAAGTAACTGTATCGAACCAAATTAAAAGTAATTGTACTTTAATACAGTTACTCAAAGTTAATATTCAGAATATGTATTCTCGGTGCATGTATTCAGTCACTTCCCAACATCAACTGGCACCAGTGCAGAGACTGAAAGCAGTATTTATTTCTTTCAAATAAAAATAACATAAGGCAAAACTGATCCAAATGCGTTATGTATCAGAACAGCTATAAAAGCAAATTCAAACATAACAACTATGACTAGTAAAAAAATATATATTCCTACATAAATTTATATGTCCAACAGGAAATCGGCTGAACAGATATTTGGGAGCCAATATCTGATCCAGCAAATTTTTCAGGATGGGTTCCACTATAGAACTGAACTTCAATTTTAAACTATAGGGATATGTATGTATATAGGGAATGTTTTAACTTGAACGCAACGTATTCCTTCAACCTCCTGTTTCCATGTGCCATTTTGAATACTTGAATATGATTTAAAAGATATAATATATTGTTTTAAATTGTTAATTGCTATGGCAGCAGTGATCATTTTTCATCACTCGTCATTTTAAGCGCTATTTGAAAATTTCCTGAAACAATATAAAGACAACCAAGCCAAGTAATATGAACATTTGTGTGAATCCACTCTTACCTCTTGCCCGCATTCTCTTCAGTCACCTCCGCACACTGAAACCAAACTCCACAGACTCATGGCGTGATAACCCAGCGCAGTGGCCCAGCTCGGTCCCACTGTAACATGGACACATTAATCACCACCACTTGGTCACATTTTTCCGATCTGAAGTCATCGCCGCGCAGTCCCTGATGGAGAAGTCTGTTTTTCCTGACGCCAAGCTATTCCCGCACACTTCATTTCCTGTAATACCTGGAGCCGAGATGATTTTAGTTTTACAATCTGTCCCTATCAAAGCTCGTTGAATGCAATGAATTATCGCTGCAGAGGTGGGAATGGAAGTTATGAATGGCCAGGTAGTACCACTGGAGCTGTGATGGATCAGTGCAATTCCACAACTGTCAGGGAGGCATGACTGAACTGTTTGGGTGTTCAATCTATTACAATCTCATGCAGGGCCTATTTATTATTTAATGTTTACTTAGTTATTACTGGTCTTGTGGAATATAAATTTGTATAAGTATGTGAGGACTACCACATTCATATTTTAGGCTTGGGTTTGGATACTGAGCCCTGGTTCTTAAATAAATAATCATTTATACTGTTTATTCCAATACAAAGTGTTCATACAAGTCGTATTGATTGATCCATAGCTGCCCTGGGGTGAACTGGCAAAGACATGCCAGCCATACTATACCTTTTTTCAGTCACCATTTTTGTTGAAAATCAAACTCCCCTACCCTAAACTGGACCATGAATGCTCCTATTGATTGCAGGCTCCTGAAAATGTTCTGTTTAAATCCATTTTGTGTTTTCAGTGTAAGTTTTCAGACAATCTTAAAACTTTCAGACAGTCCTGACATGTGTGCAGTGTGTCATCATGGTAACTCCTAAACATTCCACCATAAGAGATACACATAGAACAACCCCAGCATGATGTCACACAAAGTATCAATATATTATGTTTTGAGTCAGAATGAGTCATGTTGCATTTCAACAGTCAGTTGAGAACCTTGGTTAAACACAAAGATTATGCGTGGGAGGTAATTTACCTGAAGACACAACAGCAGTATCATGCAAGGCATTAAAAATTCCAGTAACCCAATTTATTCTAAATTAATGTATTCAATTATTTATTTTGCTTATGCTTTTTAAAAACATATTTTTAACTACTCAAAGGTCCCATCTTACATAGAATGTACTCTGTTGAGCTTCAAGCCATGTTATAATGTTGTTACCTCCTCAAACACATACCTGGAGTTTTGATTCATTCACACATGTTTGAGTAACCCTTAATAATTAGTCTGTCTATATCTCCACAGCTAAAAATGCTCTGTTCCACTTTGTGATGTCATGTAGTGGTAGTTTTCAAGTTAATGGCTACCTTTTACCTGTAGTTCAGTACAGATTGGCGATTTCAGGGCTAAAATCATCCAGATAACTCAAGTGAAAGTGTATGGAGTTTAAAAACACAGTTGAGCACTTTTTGTATTATCCCATGACATCACAAGGTGGAACAGAGTGTTTCCTGTTTGAGAGAAGAACTTAGTCTAAATATGCAGGGTTTGTGTGTTAAACATGTGTGAATGACACAAAACACAACTCTGGGTCTGTTTGTGATGAGGAAACAGCATTATAGTGGAGATCGTAACATGGGCCTTTCATACGTGATAACTACTGCAGGCCTGTTTCCTTGGCTCTCTGCTCCTACTTTCTATCATAACTGTTTACATATAGTGGCCCCCTCCAGACTCCTTCCTCCTCTGTAGTCTGCACTCCTCTCAGCCCTGATTTGCCAGGCTCTGCGTTTCATCTGGAGGTGAGGACGGGGGTCAAAGGTCACCGTGGCCAAAGGGGCGAGTGTGACGTCTGAAACGGACAATAAAATACAGGTGTTTCCATAGCACAGATCCGTACGAGAGGAGGGAGGGGCGACGGGGTGAGGAGGGGGTAAGCCAGGCAAGCTTCAGTGCTCCCAGTCTGGTTCCAATCAGGCTTGCTGTGTGGAGAAAGAACTTGTACACTAACTTTCAAAGCACTCCACTGTCTCCTACCTCCCACATGCTCCGAAGCTCGGCCAACTTCACTTTGTACGAGACAGCAACCTCCCCTTTAAGGCCTTTACACTGTCACAAGTACTAAAACGCTCAGTAAAATCAACCATCCCAGGCCATCAAAATGTGGCTACAGTATATGGGCCTTCCCAATGGTGTTTTTAAGGCGATTTTCATACAGCTGGTATCTGTTGACCCGAGGGAGAGCTGATATAAAGCACAAAAATGAGGCAACAGAAGCCAATGTAAACCGTGGTGGGCGGACTGGCTGTCTAAAATAACACAACTCTCCCAAGGCTAGGTCTCCTCAGTCACGTTCAGAGGCATAACACAAGACGTGACGCTCAAGCCAGGATCTGCTATCAAAGGGAGGAAAAGGCCCAGGAAATTTAGAGCTAATTGAAGATGTGGGAATTTGAACAGATATTATAGGAGTCATTTTACAGTAAATACGTCATCAAAGTCATGCTTGTGTAGTAAGTAGTTGTTAGGGTAGCCTTGGTCCCTCATCTGTATAAATGCATACCTATGTGTTCTGAGTAGATTGGATTTCCACTTTGGATTGGATTGGTTGTTTAAAGGCTGAAAGAATCATATTGTTATTCCCTTCTTCATTTTGTGACAAAAAAAAAAACGGCATATTTATTTTATTTACTCATTTATTTGAAAGGAGACTTGTGAACTTTAGTAGGAGCGGACATTTTATAGGTTTAACTTTTTTGGTGGAGAATAGTTGTCTTCATTGAGGAGGTGTTGCTTTGACTCTTTGTATGACAAGCAGTATATCTATTATGCATTTTTACAATTACACGTGGTTTTATTGCTTGAAGAAATATATTGAAAAACCTTACTAATGCACAGATCTGACCAGTAAATTGACCTAATAATAATAATACCTATAATAATAATAATAATAATTTCCATCTATATTGCGTTTTTCAAGATACCCAAAGCTCTTCACAATCAGAGGCGGCCCTACCATTAGGCAACAGTAGGCGGCCGCTTAGGGCCCCAGAACCCCAAACAATTGCCCTTGCCATTACCACTAATGGTCGAATGGCTCAGAGCATTTTGATTTTCTCTCAATATAACAATAAACAAGAGTGGTTTACTTTTAAATAAAAAACACCATCAAAATAGTGTCTGATTGTCAAATCTGACTAGTCAGTTTGATCCTGATTTGCACATAATCGTAGCATAATCATATATAATAGATGTAAACAAAAATATTATTGTATTAATTCTAAATTTATAATTTGTAAATTTAAAATTTCATCTCTGTTTTTTAGTAGGCTACTTAACAAATAAGACAAGTTTCCAATCAACCCTAATTCAAATATATATATTGAATACAAAAAACAAACAAACAACAAAACAGTGCATTATAGTGAGGGCCCCAAACTCAAGTTCGCCTAGGGCCCCCAAATTGTTAACTCCACCACTGTTCACAGTAACACACAGAACACAGTAACACACACACACGCATGCAAAAACACGGGAGTGGTTAGGTGGGATTAAAGGCCAGTTTAAACAGAAATGTTTTGAGAAGTGATTTAAATCTATCAGTTGTTTCAGCAGTTTGCATGTGAAGGGAGTGTGTTCCAGAGTGAAGGAGCCTGGACACAGACGGCTCTGTGTCTCCTCTCCAGTCACCATTACTACTATACCAGCTGACCTAACCCAGATCTAGCATTGCGCATCCCTTTTTCATTTCCTTGTTTAGTTTTCATATACAGTCCATAACACAGAATTTTGCGATTTTGTAATAGACATCAAACGTTTGTGTTCAACCGACCATATGGACACTTAGCATAGCAGGTCTAATCAGTTAAATTGAAGCTGTCAAAGGACTACAAATCCCATCAGGCCTCTGTCACGTCTGCAGCCGCTCTGGCTTGAAAAGTCATCAACATCTGAGGACGTTTTTACTGCTCCTTAACTGGCCCGAGCCCCTGGCCATAAAAGTTCAGACAAACAGATTGAGCGGAGGTGTGGGTGGAGGTGCCTGTTGTTTACGGAGCCCTGGACGTGCTCTGTAAACTCCCATGTTTAAAGTCTGCCATTGTTTAAAGGGGAAGTGAGAACATCCAACATGGCCTCCACCTTGTTTACGTTGAGCAGCCTGACAGATCAGCTCAGCACTGATACTCAATAAGTTTATCCCACGTGTCTTTTGTCATTAGGCACGCCATCACGCAGACGGCTACACATCTGTCTGCGTGTGTTTACGTTGACTTACTGAATGACTTCATGTGCTAAGGCAAAGTGAGATAATGATATAAGCGGTTTATTCGGCTGCCTTTAGATGTGGATTTGAGTCGTAATCAGCTGGATTTCATTAGGACGTTTAACAGGACAAATCCCAGGAATGCTCTAACATGGCCGCCACTGCATCTGGAGCACGGCAGGAGGAGAAAGACGCAATAGTGAACGCAATATGGTCTGTGTTCACTATGGAGCTTATTATCAGGTAACTTAGCAAATTAGCACAACAACTCTGTACCCCTGTCTATATACATTATGGTGATTTTGAATGGGTAGGGTTGACTTATTATGATGAAAGCGAACGCTTATGGACACGTATGTATGTTGTTACTCTTTGTTGTTCCATTACTGTTGCTTTCTTAAAATAATATCAGATTTGAACTAGATTTCTGTCACAATGATAGCTTTATATTTGTGGTCTATTTTTTGTATTAAGTTCTATACCTTTGAACCATTATACACTTACAGAAAACCATTAGCAGGAGTTAAATGACATAGTGCAATGTAATGTACACTACCGGTCAAAGTCGCGCAAGTCCAATGAAGAGCTTGAAATGGTACAAAGGCAAGAACTGAACAGACAGATGTTTAAAAAAAGATAAAAAATCATAAGTCCAAGCTCTGCCAAAACTACCTCAGGAAAAAAGAACAAGATGGTAAGATTGAAAGCATGGAGTGTCCAGCACAGTGTCCAGACTTAAACCTCATCGAGCTGGTTTTGGGATGAACTGGACAGAAGAGTGAAGCACAAGCAACCTACAAGTGCCACACACTTATAGGAACTTCAGCAACAGCCTTGGGAAGAACTTTCTGAAGAATATTTAATTTCTATTGTAAAAAGAACAAGCCACGAGTGTGTTCAGCTGTTAAATCTGCCAAGAGTGGCTACTTTCATGAATCAGTAGTTTAGTATACGTGTTGGTCAACAGTAAAAACTGGAGTGTGGTGTTCTAAAACTTTTGACATTTGATAATACTTAATACAGCTGGAGGATGACTGATTTTTATGGATTCTAGCACTCATGATGCATGTCTTATTGGACCTATCTCGTAATGATAATATTTTGTATATGCCTTTGTTGTTTTTTAGTTACCTCAAAATAATATCAGAATTTGACTAGATTTTTTTGTCATATTAATAGCTGTATCTTTGTGGTTTATTTTTTTGTGTTTTGTTCTGTTACTTTGAACCCTTATAGACTTACAGAAAAACATTAGCAGGAGTTGAGTGACACAGTCCGGTGTAATGTAGACTATCAAAGACTCAGCTGGAGAAAAGTTATGTTTCAATGGAAATAGTATATATTTTAACATACTTGTACAGCACTACTTTAAAGTGAATACATTAACCAACCGTCTTCTCATCTGGAATATCTCAGTCAAGTCCCATCAAAGCGCACTGACCCTGTCTATGTCGGAGCGTCAGATTTACGTGGAGCATCAAACGTACCACGGCTCTCCGGACACCTGCGGACCTGTCGCCGGAAAAAAAACACCAAAGTTCTGAGCCAAAGTTAATCCTTTTAGACTCCATCAGACAGGGTCACTTTCAGCCATTTGACCTTTAACCTGTTGCATGGTCGACAGGTGGTATAGTGTTCAGCCTGTGTTTCTCTGATATGTACGGGCTAATAAACACATTCGGCTCTATGGTGTGTTAGCAGCTGCTATATTCTGGCAAGCTCTGTAGATATCTGTCAAGTTACTGGGTTTTTCCCCGTAAAGTGTAATTTCGGGCTTGTTTTTTTCTTGATAGACATGGACTATTACAGCTATCGAATAACAGCGCAATCACTCAAAATCTGCCATCACAGTTTTTTCTTTAACGGAACAAATATTAATTTTTCTAGAAGGTCCAAAATGTCTAACTTCGCTGTTGTCGTTAGCAATAAATATTTGAATGTCCCTTTAAGATCTCTCTAAGGAGTTAAGACCAACACTTTTAAATAAATTGCCTCCAACCAGTAAAAAGTCAAAAGCTTTTGGCGCTGCAATGTGACCGGAGTATTTCTTGTTGCTGTTGGCGTTTGTGTGGCATCTACTAAAGTTTTATTTCGGGAAGTGATGAAATAGGCGAGCATGTGTCAGCAGACTCCACACAGCAGCTATGAGCTCAGGAACGAGTAAAGGCTAGTCATTACCTGATTACTTTACTTTATACTAAACATGCATTGACACCATACTACTACACTGTATAATTCCGCCTCTTACATACTTGCAGGTATGTCATGATAACAAATTTTGAAGGAAATGTAGACGATAAGCAATAATATTGAAACTACTGACACTACCAATGACTTGAAAAAAAGTAAAATTATTCTCAAAAAACTGTACAAAAATGAAAAAAGTGTACATTATGGTTAAAAATCACAAACTGCAATAAATAAATGGCTGAATGAAACACTTAAGTAGATTAAGAAGTTTGTATCTATATTGAGTCATCGTAGTACTTTCTTCAACTCTCCCCAGCTCAAATCTAATCATAGTACAGAATAATCACTAAAGGTTCTCAACTACTACAAAGAAAAAGTACCTAGGATAAATATTGACCCACCCCAAAATGATTGTTCCATCTAACTTGATATAGTAATTATCGTGACAGGCTCACACACTAACTGTCTATAATGATTAACAATCAAACGTATACTTTCTCTTTGCCCTCCAGCGTGTGACTGCCACCCAGTCGGAGCAGCGGGGAAGACGTGTAACCAGACCACAGGCCAGTGCCCGTGTAAGGACGGAGTGACCGGCATCACCTGCAACCGCTGCGCCAAAGGGTACCAGCAGAGCCGCTCGCCCGTCGCACCCTGCATCAGTGAGTAACTACACGGACTAGTATTCTGTATAAATATGTGAACCACAGAGGACAGGCAGACAACAGACTAAGGGATGCACTTTTTTTTTGTTCCAATACCGATGTCAATACTTTGGTAGTATCTGCTGAGCCCTGATATCAACCGATCGGTTATTGGAAGGGCAGAGACTGGAAATATCCATTAAACACAAACAGGGTATGGTAAAAAAAAAAAAAAAAATATATATATATATATATATATATATATATATATATATATATATATGTATATATCCAAAGATCAAGTAACAGTTTAATATTAGGAGGTGTTTGGGATGATCATTGTCCTATAAATCATCTGATTACACCAGTTTTTGACCAAAGTAAGATACAAACTAAATCAATATCTTGGAACCAAAATCAGATCCATCAAAAAATTCAGTATCAGTGCCAATAACCGATACAAGTATCATATAGGAGCATCCCTAAACGCACTATGGTACAGTTCCCCCATTCTTTTATTATTCAAAAATGCTAATTAGGAGAGGCCCCCATATCTATTTATCAAAAACTTCAATTACCATACTTAATGACCCGTCAGTACCCTACTGTACGCATTAATTTACTGTGGCAAAAACAAGTTCAAAAACTAAGTTAAAAGAGTACAATGGTTGTGTTCATTGACAGACACTAGAAATATTTCCATTACAATCACTGTCATTTAGACTACATCTGTGTGTGTGATATCATGTATTTTAAAGGGCATAAATGTACATGTGTATGGGATTTTGAAACTATTAGGCATATTAACACTAGTACGTACTAGTGTTTTACTCCTTTAATTGACAGATTGCTGTGTGTTTGTAGTAATATAGTAAACATACTGTATGCTAGTACTTTGTTGTAAAAGTAACCCTCACTGGCTTGTCAGGCAATATTAGCTCATTGTGTTAATATGCCAAATAAACCTCAAAGTGGGCAAATAACAGTATCCAGCAGTAACACCCTGCCCTGTGGTGCCGTGTTGGTGGAGACTGCAGATTCAGAGCAGATGGCAGGCTGGCACGGGCTACAGTAGCTGTGAATGTGTTTGAGTGACACTGAAATCCAAGTGATCGCACAGAACAGTAATGGTAATGAGATCTATGCGCCTCACCTCCCATTGAGACAGCCGAGGAAGACAAAGCTATTAAGCAGGCAATTAGTATGATGGCTACAGCGCTAATTTGAATGATCCGCACTCATCTGTCCTGGGCACGCAGATGAGGGGAGATCGGGCAGCTGTATTGCCACAAAAGCATAGTGTTCATGTTTGTTTATGTTGGTGGGGTGTCTATAAATTCAAAGACAACATGCTGATCGCCAACAACTTCACCCCTCACTCTCCTGCTGCTGAGGTACAAGCCCTGAATCCCCAAATCCAATCAGAGCCTTTGATGGGTGCTAAGACTGCATCCCTAAATCTGTTTATGTTAGGAGGCTAAAGCTGCTGGTAACATTAGCATTTGTATTGGAAAATCATTGATTAGCAGAAGTCCTGGAGGAGGTCCATGCTGCAGCACTTTTTAGTGTAGCCAGCGGGCATCACAAGGGAGGCTACAACTGTCAAGATCCTCCCAAACAACTCCCTCAGCACCATCTGTCCATGTGTACGTGCATACAGCATGGAGATTACACAGCGGTGTGAGGGAGGAGGCTAATTAGTGCAGAATAAGATAATGAAATGTATTGTCTGTCACCACTTCACTCTGCTCCAATGATGATGTTAGTAGATGTAATCCATTGGTAGTAACAACATATAGTTGGAATTATACTACTAATCGCTGAGATAAAATCGTTAATAAATCAAATATTTATGTTTTAAAATTCACATGATGGATGGACTTGCTTGTTTCCATGGAGATGTTATAGTTTTGTCTGGAATTCTACATAGTTTGGGATTGAATTATACATGGAGAAAGTATGTGATGACATCAGGCCAAGTTACAAGTCATATCTGTGGAGCGGTGACCCCACTTACAGAGTGAATGCATCCCTTTGGAGTTATTTAAAAACACCTGTAAATGAATAAATGCACATTTAAGAGAGTGCATTAACATCTCTCAACAAAAAAGTTTCAGAATGCACTTTCATTATTGAACTTCATACTTTCTACAGTGATACTAAGCACAAATCATTAACATGATCCTAAAGATTTGTTCATTTGTATTTCAGAAATCCCCGTGGTGAACCCAACAACAGCCGTGAGCAGCACAGAGGAGCCAGCAGGTTTGTACCTCACCCATTCACCACTGCTCACTTAAGAGAACAAAAACATATTATCTTATTTCTAGACTGGAGTTTGAAGGTGCATAATAAATATTAATACAGGGCGGGCCACCTCTGTCTGAATGATCGCAGACTTTTTCCATTGTCGTGAATTCCTTTATCCTTGGCAAGGTTTCTTAGGCTGACTTAGTGGAGCCTGGAGTGAGTGTATATGCAGCTTAATGCCAAGGCCAGCAGATAGGCCGTGGCTCGGGTAATTAGTTACACTTGAGCTTGTGGAGATTTAGCGAGAGAGAGGGCTGTGAGGCGTGAAAGGAGCGCTGGCGTGTGACTGCTTTGGACCTCAGACTCTGCTCAATTACATCGTTTTATTTCTCATTTTGTGCTGTTATACATATTCAGAGGATATAGATTTGGAACTTTTTAAAAGATGTTACGTGGTCTTCACAGTGTACTGGTATAGGGGGATAGGGAAAAATGCATGTTTACTCATGTACCGTTTAGCTGATAATATTAAAAATCAACGGACGACTCAAACTAAAGCCCCACCATGTAACGATGTTAATTTTTTCATTTTAGATCTTTTTATTGCACTGAATATAAATACAAAAACATGCATCCTTACTCTGGTCTGGTTTGCATCTCCTCAAACTCTCTTATACTTGGTCTAGAAAAAGGCCTCCACCTACTTGTCTCCATGCAAATGTTGTTCTTTTGGCGGTAATATCTCACAGTATGGGTTTAACTATATTTACGTTTACACATACACATTTACACTTACACAAAAATGTTCATAATATTTCTCATCTTTAATTGTGCTGATTGAAAAAAACTCTCTCCTGCCTGTGTGCTACCATCCTGGGAAAGTTTTGCAGAAACAGCACTGATCGCACATTCACCTCAGGCTCCACAGCAGTCACACCGGAGCAGTGCCCCATCTCCCTCTGTCACATCCTGGGCTTTTGTGGAAGGGGCGGTGGGTGCAATCTGTCCTTGTCGCCCAGCTTTGAATGGCTGTAAAGGCGGTTTTGGGTGCAACTATCTTCTGGGTCAACTGGCAGAAAGGGACTCCTCATGGGAACTGTCCACACTGTCCCTGTCTGATATTTTTCAAACAGCCAGCAACACTAGAGAAAGAGGTGAAAAGTAGCTCATTATAAATACTCACATTGTGGTAATCAAGTAGATTTTTGTTGTGAGTAGATTTTTAAGCATGTACTTGTAACTCAGTATAATTCTAGCCATGCAATTGTCACAATGTCACATTTTAAATTATTTGAGTCGCTGAGAAAAAAAACTAGTAGCCAGGCTGGCACCACCTAGTGCCTTTGCTCAATTTCATTTCTCTCCAGCAACTAGGTTAGGAATCGAAATACACTAGACGGTTTGCAAGAACCCCAGAAGTTGTAGACCCCGCACCGGCCAATCAGCGAAAAGCTGTGAAGCTCCTGTCTGAGTAACTTTTGTGGTAGCACAACAGTAAACAAAGCGAGACGAGACGGTTGTAGACAAAGTCATACATTCTGGGCAACGATTCCCGAGATCGAGGATTTAAAGCCGGGACAAAGAGAATGTTTGGTGGATTTTATCAAGGGGAAAGATGTTATTGCACTTCTTCCTATGGGATTTGGCGCATTACATACGTCGCGATCAAATAGCAGCGATTGGTTAAAAAAAAGTACCCACCTACCGACAAGCAAACGAATCTTAATGCTGTGAGATCAGATGGTTTCCATGAAGTGAAACCGGCTGATGAATCAGGCTACAATACTAGTCCCAATCATCCCAAAGCACAGCTGTCTCACTTCTGTCTCGTTCTGGCGCATTTCTATGTTTACAGTATAAACACTTATTCATGGGTTTTAAAATGATAAAAATCATAGCAATTGACAATTTAAAACAAAATATTATATCTTTTGAGTTGTCAAAATCATAAAAATGTTATCTATAATAGAAAGCTGAACAGATCTGTACCACCTGCTCAGTGGACAGGTGGATAGCAGTTTAAAATGACTTAAATCAACTTTTGAATTGATTGATTGATTGATTTTGTATAAAAACTGATCTAAAAAGTAGTTAGTTTTTTCATTCATACATCCTCTCACTCAAGTACAACTTAATGGTACTTGTTCACTTGATTGTACACTTGAATTGAGTACATTTTACCCATGTAACTTTACTTTTATTTTAACACATATTTTCAGTTTTCTCTTTCCACCACTGACACATTAATAATAAACACATTATTTTGCTCGGCTATATACTGATTATATTTTTACTACATATGTTGCCAGTCATTTTTGCATGCATCCCTAACAAGATAATACTTTACAGACAAAACCATGACAGATCTCGATGGCTTGAATATTGGATAATGTGATTGAGGTTTGTGACTGATGTGCGTACACTGACCCATCACACGCATTTCTCCAGAGCCGTCAACACCTACACTACGTATCGTCAGGGCTGACCAATGTTGGAAGCCATTTTTCCCCTCTGTCTGTCTCTCTCCTCTCCTCCTTTTGTTCCTATAAAATTTCCACTTCTCTGATATATAGCCAAGCCTCCTGGACATTTATAGGCTCCCCGGTCCCCTGTTCCATCCTTCCATTGCTCAAACAGCTCTCATGCGAACCTTGAACCTTTGATTTCTCTCTCCCATGGCAAGTTTTTCCTAATTGAGATATTCCGTGTTCATTTTATTTGGATTCTGCTTGTGAAGATGCAGGGGGAGTTCGCGCATGTGGTTTTTGAGTTGGGTGCCCCCGCATTCCAGCTGTGACAACCTAGTGTGTCCCGTCTTAAGCTTTTCGTTCACAATTTTTCTGTTATTTTAAACGCACACTGTAACTTTTTCTGTGGCGGGCTCTGCAATCTGCTTGTTTCCATAGATATGTTATTACTTTGCCAGCAATTTTACACAGCGTTTCTTTTATTACAAGTGTTTTAGCCAATGGTTTTTCAGTTAGTCACGTTCACATTTCTGTTGAAAATCAAACACCTAAACAGGATCATGAATGCTCGTATTAATCACAGACTCCTGAAAATATGTGGTTTAAATTTATTTTGTACTTTTCCTTGAGTGTTCAGACTATATTAAAACTTTTTTTGTGCTTGCTAATGCGCATACTGTCACCATGGTTACTGTTGAACATTCCACCAATAGAGATCCATGCAGAACTCCATCAGTGTGATGTTCCTTCCACTAGAAAAGCTACATAGTGGACCTTTAACCCAGGGTCTTCAAAGGTAATTAAACTAATTGCATGTAAAAATGAGGCAGGGTTTCATTAAGTGCAGCTATCTTTGTATCTGGTTTCAGCGCAGCGCTCTTAATAAGCATCTCAGAGTCCAGTGATTTCAATTATAAAGCTGACAGGACACGCCTTTCATCTGTTTTGAATGGTTCACTACATTTTGTTCCACTTCATGCAAAACATCTTTCGTGATCACAGAGAATCAATGGTCTTAATGTTGGCATGGCAGAATAAATATTTCATGAACTCTAAAAAGCAAACAATGACAAATAATTACATGCATGTGCGCTCGGTACGCCAAAAACAGACCCTTGCATGCTATACTTTACTTTATGGCGATGTGAACTCCTCAAAGCTGGGACCATGAAAGGGGTAATGCCAACATTTTAGTGGTGATATATTTTTATTTTCTTATGCTTTTGTCATGATCATGTAGTAGTATAGTACTGATCTTGAACTTTATTAGAAGTAGTGTAATCACAAATTAAAGGGGCACTCTATAGTATGCAGAAACCTTATATCCTTTATGGAGATTCTGATCACATATTTCACAGAACGGCATTAAACGTATCAGTTTCTAACCAAAGCAAGTATTTTTGCCGATAAAAAGGCCATACAGTATGTGGAACTTACCAGGAAAAGCAATAACATTATATTGTATACACATTTTAATACGGAGATTATTAGCTTGATTCATCAGCTGGTTTCACTTCAGGAAACTGTCTGACCTTGCAGCATTAGGATTCGTTCACTCAATGATAGGCGGGTACTTTTTTTTATTTAACCAATCGCTGCTGTTTGGTCAGGATGCATCGAATGAGACTAACTGGTATATTAAGCTTTTCCCAAATCCCGTAGGAAGAAGAGCAATAATGTCGTTCCCCTTGATAAAATTCACCAAACATTCTCTTTGTTCTGGCTTTAAATCCTCGATCTCGGGAATTGTTGCCAACATAGAATGTATGGCTTTTCACTTGATTGGCTGGAGTTCTTGCAGACGGTCTAGCATATTCCGAGTCCTGACCTAGTTGCTGGAGAGAAATGAAATTGAGCAGAGTCATTAGGTGACGTCAGCCTGGCTAAAAGAGTACCACCAACTTTATGAGTTATGTTGAGTTTGACTTTATCCATTCTAAGAACTTTTAAACTCTTTTATCCATTCATTGGAATAGTACTTGAGTGTCTCTTAAAGGTTCACTGCACAACTTTTTTGGCTGCCACCTGCTTGTCTCCATGAAGATGTTTTTGCTTTGCCTGGAATGTTCCATGGTAAGACTTTAAGCATTTGCATCTAGCATTTATTCATTTCTATTGCTCAAAAGTATGTTAACGCTTTCTGTGAATAGGGGTGACTGTCCACAGAACTCCACAGATGCAGTGTAGTACTGTAGCCGGGTTGTCTCGCACATGATAGAGGTTTAATTTATACTGTGGAACATTCTAGACAAAGCAATAACATTTCCATGGAGACAAGCAGGTGGCAGACCCTCTACTATGAATGTTATGCAGTGCACTTTTAAGAATGTTGTCAAAATCAGTGTCAAGTTTAGTTCTTGAGTCTCAAAAGTAGACTACAGCACCGTGACAGCACCCGTTCAGAGCCAGTTCATTTGAAAATATCACATGTATTTTGGGTGATACAGTGGACTGCTCGTAGGACCTTCTCTGGCAGCTCTGAGGACAAATGGTGGGAGAAGGTCATGTGTGCGGTGTGTGGTCTGGATCTTCATGCTGGCAGCCAAGCCCTATTCACATCTATCCAAGCATGAGCCGCTCTGTCTTTGCTCAAAATCTCCCAAAACATGTCAGGCCCTACACTTGTGCTCCTCTGGTATGCCTCACGGCCTCCCAGCTGGGCCTCTGTGGGAAGAAAACACATACACGAACAAACTACAGTGTCCACTATTAAATAATATGAGCACAGAAAAGTTATACAATGCACCTTTTTTGTTTAGAGTTGATTGTCTTGTTTTGTTGTGTTTGTTTTCTCTGTGGTTTGTCTGTGGATTCTCATGCTTTATTAAAACAAACAGGTTAGAAATGTTGAATAGTCATTGTAGACCCCCACCAAGGCAATGACCTGATCTCGCAATTACGTTTGTGTATAGATAAGGGCACCGTCTTAAAGGGCTATATTATTCAATTTTCACTAGAATCATTTGGATGATTTGAGCACTGGGATTTTCATCTCTAATGAACTAAAGGTGAAAGGAAGCTGTTAACTTGAAAACACTACATTACATCACAAAGTGGAACAGATTACTTTGAACTGTGGAGATGTAGACTCATTACTGTGTGAATGAAACAAAACACAACTCCAGGTTTGTTTTGATGAGGTAACAGCATTCTAACATGGTTTAAATTTAGTTAATTTTGCATAACATAGGACCTTTAATCTTCTAATTGAGATTTTTAGATGAGAAAAAAAAACATACAGTGTTTTGTCTAGCAGTTATGAAGTGCTTCACAGTGCTATAAAAATACCAACCCCCATCATAAAACAAGAATGAAAACAACAACACAATAAAACACATTAAATATGATCAAACATTCTCAAAACCCTCCAAGGTGAAATCAACCAAATGCTTGTATGAATAAAACAAAAATGGTTTTAAAAGTGCTTAGACGTTTAACTTTTCGGGCCTAATAGGGGTAATGAATTCCACAGATAGAAAACGGGGCATGAAACAAAAAAATACGACCCCCTCTGGTATAAAGTTTGGTTCTATGCGCACCACAAGAAGAGCTAAGGATTTACAATAACGTTTAGAGGTACTTTCACAGTACATAAGAGTTTACAATGTTGTGTCACCCCAGCTCCCTTTACAAGCTGCAGGACCAGAATACAGCTGTAGTCCACTTAACACTTGTACATCATCATTCTGTGTGTATAAGCGTGTTCAAGATCTCCTGTCTCTCTTCTCTTACAGACTGTGAATCCTACTGCAAGCCTGTCAAGGGAAACCTGAAGATCAACATGAAGAAATATTGTAAAAAGGATTATGGTAAGGCACTGTTAGATACTAGAAAGGGCTGCATGTACTCATTTAGGGAAGCGCAATTAATCAAATTTTAATCAAGGTCAAGATTTTGTCATTTCTTACTGTCAATATTATGCTTGGGTCTTTTTAAATCAAGAGGTCCAAAGCCAGTCTTCTGTCAGTAAAAGCATGTGTTTTGAAATGAGAATTCAGATTTTGGATGAAGAAATGTAACTATTTGAAATGGCAATGATTACAATTGTGTCTTGTTTTTGTTCAGGAAATTTACAGTGATCAAATTCCAAATCGTTTCAAATTGGATTATTACATGCATCTGAAGTCCATGTTTGAATGAAAAGTGTAAAACTAACTGGGTTTTGTTTATGATGTGTCCACAGCGGTGCAGGTGAACGTTCTGGACATGGACACAGTGGGAGATTGGGCCAAGTTTTCAGTCAACATTGTGTCAGTGTACAAAAGCCGCGGGGAGCCCTTAAAACGTGGCGACAATGTGCTGTGGGTGCACATGAAGGACCTGGCCTGCAAATGCCCCAAGATCCAGATAGGCAAGCGCTTCCTGGTGATGGGCGGCAGCGAGGGCGGCGTCACGGCGGGGGGAGGTCCGGGGGCGGGGCCTGGCAGCGGATCAACCAATCAGGTGACGGGAGCGGAGCGCGTAGGGCTGGTGGCCGATAAGAACAGCTTGGTGATCCAGTGGAGGGACGTTTGGGCGCGGCGTCTGAGGAAGTTCCAGCGCAAAGAGAAGAAAGGGAAGTGTGGCAAGGCATGATGGGAAAAACCCTTCCCCATGTGAACCCTGACAGGACAGCCCTGAGCCCTGGCCTGTCACTGGACACTGCACACTACAGACTGCATGTACCAACTTTTTCTAAGGACCTCACCTGTGTATATTGTATAATTATTATGCTATTTTTATGTCGATGTTTGTTATTGTATTGTCCATGTGTTTTGGTTTGCGTTGGTTTGCCTTAAAAAGGGACCATTAAAAAGGGTATGAAGTGTCAACACAAAGTCCATTCCCTTCACGACAACAGCACAACTCCACTGTTGGCAGACCCACTGACTCTGTGCCCTCCCTCTGTCCACTCTGTCCACTCTGCTCTGAAGTCAGGCTGCTGCTGGGCCCAATTTAAAGGAAACTCCAAATGATCATTGCAGTAGTCTTTTGAACCTTGAGGAACCAAGGGCTTTCTTTTGACAGCACAAACCTTAGTCCTACCACCTGGATTATACTGGCTCTATGTGTCTGTGTAAGAGTCTACAAAGTCTCTGAAGGAGCAATTAGATTCATGAACCACCATCTTGACTTTTGGAAGGAAAAGCGTTGTGGACAAACAGCTGGATTCTCAGAACAATAGCCAATACTCCAGGAGACTTTGTGCTTAAAGGGCAGTGTGGCCTCAGATGTGTGTGGCCACTGTAGTCTCTCTTTAAATATATGGAATCTGTGTGTTTAGTGACTGGCGGACATTTGTTTGCCAAAAGAAGAGATTGAAACGAGAGTTCCTTTTCATGCAGTCAAAGAGAAAACAAAGTGGGATAAACAAGCATGTTTGTCTCTAGTGTACTTTGACAAAATGAATGAGGCTGGAAACTTTTAGTGTTCACTGATTGTATTATGACATGAGAGTATCCGATTTCATTCCTCATGAACTTTGTTATGTTTGCATGTTTGTGGTTTGTGCTGGTCCATCAAAACCATGCAGTGTGCACAGAACAGCTAACCCAATCTGAACATTAAGATCCAAAGGAAAACCTCCCAAGTCATCTCCCCTTATGCCTTCCTCAACTGTCCCTGTCATCCGCTGCCAAAGAGGCATACTCACATTTCAATTCAATTTCATTCAGAGCTATGTGAACCAGGAGCAACCCAAACCACAGAGAGGAGGCTTTTATCTGCCCACTGCTGTTACTTCATGTTATAAAGCGTATTATAATTGATTTAAAGAGAGTGGAAGATGAACAGGAGCATGTCCTGCCAGTGCAGCAGTGAGTGTGCTGACATGTCTCCTCCTCACATGTGTGCTGGGACTGCTCCCTGTGTCTTACCCACACTCTGTGTCCCATGTCTAAGACAAGTGACAGCTTGTGACAGCTCATGTTTACTGTACTGCACTATAGCATTTATCTGAATGTATGTGAAACTGTGAAGAACTCACTCAAACAGGAGTCTTAAGTGATTCCATGCTCCATGCTAACTAATGATAATTATATAAAGCTACTCTGTGCTGTTAATCTGCATATTTTCAATAATTCAACAACTGTAATGAACCACATGATGTGTCTGAGGAACAAGGATGGAGATGTATGACTTACTCATTATCATTAAGACTTCATTATTGACGTGACCTCAGGCCTGTGGTTTGTGAGGGCACAACTGACTTTACTCATCTCTTCTAAAGAAGGCTTATGACTCAGCTCTCACATAACATAATCATGTCCAACTGGTGACACAGATTCTGATTTGTATTCTGATCCACTGAGTGAAAAAAACTGGGCTCATACTCACAGACAACCTGCTCCTATTACTAAAACTTCAGTTAGAACTTCAGCTCACTTTTAGTCAGATTTGATAGTCAGTTCTGTGTCAAGCCTCTGCCAAAACTGATGGCCTGAGTTTGGGCAGACACATCTAAAACTAGAGGCCCATCTCATAGAAGGCCTGCTGGAGTGCCCCTGTCTCCACAGCTCCGTTCCTTTGTCAGGATTGAAGCCAGTAGCTGGCCTGTGTTGTGACAGACAGGTGCGTCTGCAGCAGCCCTGCCTCTGGCTCTGGTATGTGAGAGTGAAGCTGATCATGATGAGCTATGGTCCAGTTACGTGCTTGCCCGGGCTGTGCGCTCCTCACCACATCACAGAGGAGGTGTGACATTGCTCTGCCCTGTAAATCTGAGCTGTAGAGCTGTTTCCCACCCTCAGCGCTGTCGAGAGATAAGAGCGAGGCAGATGTTTGTGAAAACTGTTTAGTTCGCCACATAGAGAGCTCTATCCTGTTTTACGTTAACAAGCCGCGATACTTGGCAGTGGAACTCTTTGTTTCCAACCATGCCAGATTTTACGAGGCATACAGGTGTGTATGTGTGTGTGTGTGTTTAATGAAGCTATCCACAGAAACAAAAGCTTAGTTATGAAGTTCTCCGGCCAGACGACAGTGTTCACTGTGTAGATGAAGAATCCCCCATAGCACCATGTCTGTGGTTGTAAATACATATTTGTACCACTTGATGTTGGGATGTAAAAGCAGACATTGTTACATGGATGTGGAAACAGGAACATATGCTTTTGTCATCTGCTCGAAGATGTGGTTCGAGTATTCAAACCGAATGTAATCTCTTTGCTTGTTTGCAGATTATAGATTATACTTCTTGTTGGGATCAAATAGTGACAGTGCCCAATCGGTTTGAACCACAGCTTTGCCGTACATTATTCATTGAAATAGCAGTGCTCCTACAGCACTGATCTTGTTACACTGATGTCTTCCTTGTACATTTTCCCTTTGAGGCAACAAACCACTGACTTTTTAATCTATAAAATAAATTATTAGCTAATGAATTGTGTCTTTCTCAGTCATTACCCAACATGAGTATCTCAGTATGAGAGGAGGCACAATTTTAACTTTTCCCACCCACACCTCTTGTAACTAAACACAGATGAAATTCATTTTTACTTTTATAGTCACAGTTGCCCTGGGGTAGACTGATGGAAATGGGGCACTTAAATACAATATACTCATACTAAGCAATGTAGGTGAAGTGCAGTGAGATGCAGTCTTATTTTAGATTTTTGAGATTGGAAATTGGCCTCTAAGTATTTTACAGCTGTAGGAACACAGCTATATGGTTTAATCTGATCACTCATGGTACAGTATAAGATACAGTACAAGATGATGACTGAGTCTTTGTGGAAGCAGGTGACTGTCATCGTCTGGGTGACAGAACCACACCAAGGGCAGCATTTCTGGGTGTTATGCAGTTGTGTTTTGATCAAAATAAACTGTCATGGAAAATGTTGAATAGGTCCCAGACAAGAGACCGAAAATATACAGAAATCCAACCAGTCAATGGTGACAAATGAGTTAGTGTGGTGAGAAAAAATGTATGACAGAAAAGACAACAAACCTTGAACTATTATCAAATATTATCAAATCTTATCCATTTAACTCATTGTAGATCTTTGAACGCAGTTGACATTATAGTAAGCAGGAAGACATTATCCTAAGTAATAACAATAACAACTTTTGAAATGCAAAAAGTCCACAAAATATTGCATGTAACAGGAAGCTGAAACAGATGAATACTCGCACAAATTTCTCTCCTATAAAAATATATTTATTTTTAATTGTACAGTAAACTGCAACTTCAAAGGCTGCTCTAAATGTTGCCTTTATTAGCATCCTGTATTTCTTTCTAGCTACTACATATAACTTCGTACTATGGTTACTGTTTTAATTACTTCCCAACAGTTATGCTGTCATTTATATTATGTTGCACATTACACTTAAAGAAGACATACTGTGCTTGAGCCTGCTCTATAGCATAATCTACCACACCTGTGGATTATTCTATTATAATTTGAACATATAAATTGCAGTATTCATCTAAAATGACTTAAAAGAAACAAGTGCAATGACTGATTAGAAAACTGCAGTTGCGATAAAGGTCATCACAGCAAAGAGCCAGGAAGTTGTCAACCTCTCCAATGGATAGCTGCAGATAATTTTTATTTTTTTCCATATGTACCAAAATGACGATTGCTATTCAGAAAATTAAATTGGATAATGAAGTAAGTACAGAGCAGTGGGAGTATGCCAGTGGCGATGAAAACAGGTTGATCAAAATAAGTGATTAAAGATTGCTTAAACATGCGCAAATCAATCCAAATACAACTTTGAGAAGGGGAAACAACGATAACATGGCTAAAGGCTTTGAACAGTCGTTATAGGTCTGCTTTAAACAACTTTTTTAAAACCGAGTACAATGCAGTTCTTTAAAAATGTTAATTAAAACCAACTTTTGTCCCACAGAGCCATGGCCCTCTCAGTCTGTTTTTGTAACAGTCGCCCTGCTCTAATCCTTAGTAGTGGCACCCAGTTCTGTTTTCACATACACTCCATCTCTCTCTCTCTCTCTTTCTCCTTTTGTATTTTTGGAGATTGTACGGGACAAGTGACCTCAGGCCCAGATTAAGAGTGGACAGAAGACCTAAAAGACTTCTCCCACCTCAGCTGCTGTTGACAAAACCTCCACTAGAGCTTGTTTTGGCAGCGCTCCTCACCAGACGATAACTGATGAACCCTCAGACAGGAAGAAGGAAAAAAGAGGTGTTCAAAGCTCAGGTCCAAAGAGCTACTGTGCCAGACTGATAGTGTTGCAATCAAAACAGTCCAACTGCCTCAAGTCTGCTTCATATGTAAGATAAATGTTTTGTTTTTATTCAACTTTTATTTCTCTTAATATCCCAGACTTGACACTGTGCTGGCCATCAGTTCATATCTATGGGGTAATAAAAATGACATCTATGCATATTTATATTACTTTCATAATGTAGTCTATTTAAAAAGTGAAATAAAAATAATAAAAATCTTAAATTAAAATGGGATCATATTTGGAGGATTGATCAAAAATGAGTTACAAATTTGATCACTATGCTGTTCCACTGCATTGGAAAAGCTATGGTTGCCCTACAGGGACATGCTCAGTGTAAACAACATGTTTTGATTCTGGGTGTAAATGTCAACTAAACTGTGCAGAAGTCAGAAGAAATTAAATATGTACTTTGTAACTCTTCTATTGAAAGGTCCACCACCTGCTTGTTTCCATGGAGATGCTGTTGTTTTGCCTTAAATGTTTATCCATCCATTTTCTTCCGCTTATCTGGGGTCGGGTTGCGAGGCCAGCAGTCTAAGTAGGGACTCCCACACTTCCTCCAGCTTATTCAGGGAGATCCCAAGGCATTCCAAGGCCAGCTGAGGGACATAGTCCCTCCAGAGTGTCCTGGGTCTTCCCCGGGACCTCCTTCTGGTGGGACATGCCCAGAACACCTCCTAAGAGAGGTGTCCCGGAGGAAGAGATACCTGAGCCACCTCAGCTGGCTCTTTTTGATGTGGAGAAGCAGCAGCTCTACTCCGAGATCCTCCTGTGTGACTGAGCTCCTCACCATATCTCTAAGGGAGCACCGCTTTTATCTGCTATCTTGTCCTTTCAGTCAGTGCCCATAGCTCATGACCATAGGTGAGGATAGGAACGTAGATTGACCGAATAAATCAAGAGCTTTGCCTTTTGATTCAGCTCC